GGCAGATGTCATCAAATCGGGGGTGTCTTTAGATTTTGGTCTTAAAATTTAGTTTAATCTTCAATTAAAAAATTGAAAAATTGGTGACACAATAGTAGATAGTAGATGATTACTTTAGTGAATAGACCGATGGTCGAAGTTCATTATTTTAAGAATTAAATAGACCTTAATATTATCGTTTACAACCCGCATTACAACATATAAACCGTAATACATTTTCGTAGTTATAAAAAGTCGACTTCAGAAACAGTTTTCCCCATAGACGTAATGCTAAGAAAATTGACAATTTTTCGTAGATGGCTGAACTAATCTTAATCAAATTTTGCTATAATATACTTTCACATCTTCTCTTTTGAATAGCATACCCGCCCCTTCCCGACACCCCTTACAAGGGGGCTAAAAATATGGCATTTCGAAATGACCCAGAAATTTCTATGTTCTAGTCACGTGATTTGTATAAATTTTTCAGATAAAATATTTGATATATGGGACATCATTTTATCTTTTACAGATTTGAGCTAGCTCATCCCGTTTGGGAGATATTGCAAATTTACATTGGAAGAAACATATTGGCCGCCTAGATACAATTATTTTATCATGCTTATTTTATATCTGTTACACATAATACATACCGTATGAGGAATTGAGGGAATTATGTATATGAGGGAATTTTTAAATTTGATAAATAGAAAAAAATATTCATATTTGCAAAAACATCTACAGTATATGGTATACAATGCTGTTTTAATAGTTAAGTAATTTAAGTGTAATACCTATTACACAATACAAACCACATGAATGTAAAATGTATAAGAATTGGAATGAAACATGATAACTTGTTTTATTACTTAATATCCATTTTTACAATATTTTGCAAAATTCTAAAAACACCTATGCTCATAATTAATTGGTCATTTTTAGTAAACAAGTTCTCAATATATTGAATTGGCCTTTTGAAACTGTCGCTGGCTACACTACTTAAACTTATTGGACTGTTTTGTTTAACACTGTTTGCCGTATTAACACTTTCCAAACAGGGATCAGACGTTTGTAATGATATACCAGTGCTCTTTATGTGGGGCCCCTTTGCCGGGGGTTCGCAATCAGAATCACTAATTTGTGTAAAATGATATAAAATAAATTCATTGTTAATTTCTTTATAATTTTGAATGAATATATTAATTACTGGTTTTGATGTTTAAGTATTTCTTTTAAATAATTATAAATGAATTTATAATGAATTGATTTTGCGTGAAATATAGGGATTCGCCACAGAATTGCACTTTTCATCCGTGAGATTACATTAGCGTTCATTATGTTTAAAGTTTTACCAAAAATATCATTGAATTCATCGATTATATCATTGATACCTCGTGTCGTATGTATCGATGTCTGAAGTAATCCATTAATAAATGCTTGAATTAAATCCACATTTACATGAAAATTGTCCCAAATATACGACTTGTGCTGATTATGTTTATAACCAGTTTTATAAATTTCAAAAATATCGTTAATTATTTTTCCAAGTTTTATAATTTGATAATTTGTTGCAATAGTCGTAGCACTTATATCAAGATCAAGATCATTATAATCATATAAATATAATTTTATATTATTTTCCATTTTTATATTGCTGTTAATAAGGAATATATCTTTAGGATAAAGTAAAATATTTTTCATATCTATATTCAACTCAATCACTGCTTTAATACAATGTAATAATTGTCTCAACAATTGCTGTGAAATCAAGAAATCAATTGAAATCATTGCCAACGAGTGATGGGTTTGTGTCCCAAATATCACGTGTTTTGCTTGTATGAAATCCCATAGCGATTGTTCACAAAACTCCATTTGAATATAAATTGTACCATGCTCACTCCAAGAGTTATAAATTTCGACCAAATACTGAGATTTTAATGCAAATATTTTTGCAATGTTAACAGCAATTCTTGTCATATTTTCATTGGCTATTATCAAAAAAATTCAATGTTTAAAATAATTTTATAATTTCTTAAAAATGGGTATCAATTATGGCAAAAATAAAAATATTTATAAAAATACACTTTTAAATAACTATTTAACTAATAAAACTAACAATTTCATAATGGATATATCATATAACTGCTAATAAAGGAAACTATTCTCACAATACAACGTTGGGAGTAATATTAACCGATCCTGGAGATATCCATATTTAATAGTAATACTACTAACAATAATAATTACAAAAAATGAAATGTTGTCAATAAGTTATAAACATTTTTTTAATGTTTAATGTCATAAAGGTTTTTAAAAGATTCAATGAATATTGATTAACATTCATATAAGGTAATTTAAGTTTTATGCAATAAGTTAATACTTACAGAATTGTTCAGACTTGCTTAAATAATAAAAGTTGCCATTAACATTATTTTTTACTTTGGCAAATTTGTGAAAATTGGCAAAATTTTTTAGTTGATCAAGCTGAGTTTCATACGATTTGACAGCTTTAACTATTTCTATTAAAAAAACATTTATTTAAAGTTTATTAACTTATTTAGTATCAAGGTTTTAAATAATTTACCATTATTTTTATCATTTGTTTGGCAAATAACACAAATCTCATAGAATAAGGAAAAATAATCCGAAAAAATTGTAAATTTTTCTGAGCTTGAATTAGTAAACAAATAATCGGTTTTAACGACAATTGGTTTAATCGATAAAATTTTTAATTTATATAAAATGACTTCACATTCAGGTCTTAGTCTCCAATCAGTCTTTCCATAACTCTCTGTATATATACTAACACTCATTGATAGCAATAATCCGTAGATTTCTGACAACTTATTTACCATATTTGTATTGTTATTGTTTTCTAACTTAAAATTCATACTAAAAATATAATAGTATTTAATATATAAATATTTTATATTTACTTAATATACTGTAATATATTTCTATAATAGCATACACTCCGTCTCTAATATCCTTGGAATCGAAACCAAATATTTTCGCTCCAATGAGTGCCAGACTATAGACATCTATTAAATGGTTGTATTCAGTGGTCTGTCCTTCGGGTGCCATATAATCAACATTTCCCACATCTTTGGTGTGTTTAACACTACTTTGTTTGTATCGATCGCTCAATAGATCCACTTCTTTGGACAAACCGAAGTCACATAACTGTATATATCTGTGAGTATTGTTATGAATATTATCATTGTTTTTAATCAAAACATTATCGGGTTTTAGGTCTCTGTGAATGATATGATTTTTATGCAAATACTCCACACTTTCGACCAATTGTTTGAATAATTCATATGATATATAATATTCAAATTCAGGCATTATTTTCCCAAAGAATTGTTTCTTATTGTCTAACAATTGTGTTAAATTTCCGGCCAAACAATCCATAATTATATACAAGTTGTTATTTTCAATCCATGAAAAGTAATACTGAATGACATATTCTGAGCGCAATTTTCTCAAATTATCGGTTTCTTTTAAAACATTTTGTTTTACTTTCTCTTTTAAATCTAAATATCAAAATAAATATTGTTTATAAAATTATATTACATATTAATATTTGATCAACATTACGATTTAATGAGCATTCTTTAAGCGCATATATGTTTTGATTGTGTTTAGCATTTAACATTTAGCATTTAGCATTTAAAAATTATCGATTATCTAATTTATCATACTTAAATTATAATCTCACAAACTAAACAAAAACAATGAAAAATACTGACCTAAATGGTATGGGAAGGGATAGTGGAATGGGTAGTATACCAAACTTGGGCTCTGATCATGGTAATTAATAAATTATAAATAACGCACCAGGATCAATTAAAAAATACATGCAAACAAAACAGATAAATAGATAGCAAAAAGGAATAGGATAAACACCAGGATCAATTAAAATAGTGATAATAAATATAAATACTCTTGGATTTGAGTAGAAACTGCCGATAGTATGGTCTTAATGATAATGGGATCCCGTCTATTGAGCCCCTGGACGGGCAACATATGCTCCCCAATGAGCACTAACTCAAGCGATAGTATGGCCACAATTGTTAGCGATAGGTAACGGCGCCGCGACTCTAACGTCATGATCAATTATGTGGTGACAAATAATGATGATAAATGTAAATAAATAACTTGGCAACTTTATTAGTTACAACACAAATGCAATACACTTTTTTCACTGACTTTTCATTTTATATAATTCAACACACAATCACTTTTCTTAACACAGACTTTAGATCTCGGTATTAAATATTGAAATTATTGCCTAAACTCCGATGCTTTATATACACCACACATCAGAGCCCTGTCAAGTGGTTTGCATAAAAATATATCTATATTTAATAAATATATAAAAAAAACATATGTATATTTTTAGACACTTATAGGTATGGTATAAGTGAATGATTAGGTTAGGAGGGGTTGGGATAAAAAACATTACATGTGTGAGAGAGAGAGAGAGAGAGAGAG